TTTATAGAATGCACAAAGCAAAGGAATACAATCAACCTTTTTCCAGAACATCCATCTTTACCCACCAAAAAAAAAGCAGTTGCTTCCTGTCTCAAATAAGCCTAAAACTGGTGGGAAAACACTATTGAACTCCTTCTTTTTTTATTTTGTTTAAGCCTTTCTGACAACGAGGTTTCATTAAAATCGGACTAAACCGGATAACTTAGTGATGTGATAAAAACCGACATGAAAATCAAAAACATTTGAGATGGCAACTCTTCTGCTTCTACCATCCGTTACCGACAGTGTCCTCATGTTTTCTATAATCTTAATAAGTTGCCATTGTTTGTGTATCTTTAAAAAAAAAAAATAATGTCCAACCAGACCTCACATCAGGATAGCAATATCAGAAAGTGTTGCATCAAGTCAGACTGAGTTAGTTTTGGAAATGCAATTCAGTTTCATGATGTTCATGGATTCACAAGTTGAGCTGTTAAAAAGTTCATCCTAAGGCGTTTATTAGCTACTTTCTGAATCTATAAAAGGGGAGAGTCTGCAGAATTAATATGTTTTCATGCTGGCCATGCATGCTTTAATAACTAATGCATTAAGTGATGTAATATTTTTCACTTCCACTCACTGAATCTCTCCTTCTCTGAAGCCCCCCCAATGGGGAGGCCCACCTCCTGTTTGGAAAGCCTCTGACACAGAGCAAATCATCAGTCTGCTCAAGTAATGGAAAAGGAACAGATTTTAATCTGGACCTTTGATTTTGTTGTAATACATCAGAACTTACCAGACTATCTAATCAATACAAAGTAGTGGCCTACAGCGATTCCAAATTACTGTAGTAGACCAACTTTGTACAAAAAATACCCACGAACCCTCACTGATTACCTCTACTAGTCAATATCTCTTTATAAGCATATTAAGCGAAAATAAATGACATCCTAGTTCAATTTTACAAACAAAATGCCGACAAAGTTGACAGCGAGACAACTTGTTTAACTCAAATCCTTCAAAAACAAACATTTCAGAGCTACAAATGGTTATTTTTTTCCGCCTGTTTTTCTTTTCGTGTTCTTACCTTTTCCACCGACAGCACAGGAGTGGACCCAGACAAGCCAAAACAGCACGAGCATGTTTAGTTCGGGACGTGTTTAAGATGCTTCGCGTCCTCCGGCTCCTCTAAAATCCTGGCTCACCTCTCAGGCGCTAGGGGGTTCTCTCAACTGGCGGCTCGCGCGAGGGAACGTCGGGAGGGTCGAGAGACTATCGCTCATACTGTGAGCAAGGAGAGAGAGAGGGAGTTTCTGTTGAAGCGACGTTAACAAACCAACGCTTCCGGGTAGAGTTTTTCACAATAAAAGAAACGGCTGGATTAAAAATACCACCACAGGTCAAATAAACGCATCAAAACAAATCTGAACGAACATAAAATTAAATTTATAAGCATAAAACCTAATTTTAATAACTTTGAGGACTTTTAACGCTTTTATTAGAATTTAATTAACTACAAACTTTTGTTTTGAAGAATAGAACATTGCTATTTGTTACAGCCTGAATTTATTTTGCAAAATTGACTTGGTTTACAAAATATATATATATATATATAAATTTCCATTTAATCGTTTATTTCACTCATACAATTTTGCAAACGACCATTAATACACAGATACTATCCAAAACTCAACAAAATTATAAATGAGTGAAAAGAGAGCAGGGAGGATAAAAACTCATAACCTTTGCCAAATGTCAAATTTCACATTGCCATGTTTGTATAACATTCATCCACAAATGAATCCCAAATTCAAATCACCAATTTTATTTTGTGCCATTTCACTAATTCATAACAGCTTAATATTTTTTGCTATATAGTTTCTCAAATCGATTAATAACCAAGTGTTTTTATTTCATAATTGAGATCATTTAATAAATTCTCCTTTAGTGTAGTAGGTGAAAATTAACTTTTTACATGTAATTTCCTCCTATGGTCTCCTTAATTGATTTCAATGTAAAAAAAAACTTTTAAAAAATATTTGACAATTTATTGTTAGCTTTGTACAAATCTGCAAAAAAAAAACAAAAAAAACACGAGATTAGAAACGATCAAATCAAAGCAGTTTGTATGAGATAAATGTGAATATGCTGACCTATTGGAGTTTTGATAAGAACTGTGGAGAGGAAAAATTGCTGACAGACTGACTGAGAAACCATACAAAATATTCTGATGGTTTGGTTAAATTGCAATCCTGACTTGAGCTGTTTGACGCCAACAAAAATAAAGCAACTGTAATTTTTATTGAATTAAGCTGTGATTTAAACCGGACATGTTTGTATTTCTTAAAGCTGCATTCATTTTTGAATGACGCAAACTGCTACAGTGTATTTTTATCAGTATTTCCCAAACAAGAGCATCTAAATCTTTACTCCTCTTCACAAAATCATTTATTTTAGTTTTCACTCACTGTAGTCACAATTTTCTCAAATGGCCACATGTTCTTCAACAATTCCCCAATGTTTCTTCTTCTTCTAATGAAGATGGGTGTGTGTCCTAGGGATTAGAAGCAGAAGACCTCAAGTGAGTTAAGAGGATAACAAAGATACGGCACACAAGCATGGCAGCTGATACACTGAGGGACACATTTGCATGAGATTACTTAGACAAAAGACACTTCAAAAGTCTGTTTCCATGCTCGATGGCATAAAGGTAATGTTACAACAAAGCGCTGACAGGGTAAAGGGGACTGTTATCATTCAACCTTTATTTATACAAGCTAGCCACACTGAGTCATGAGGACTCATTTACTAGAGAGACCTGTTTATGAAATGATCCAACATGCAATACAGAAGATTGCAATAATTTAGGTCAGCAAGTCAAAAGGGATAATTCAACTAATACAACAGACAGTTGTTGGTGAATGTACAACAGGTACCTGTTTTTACTATTCTGTACAAATTGTAGATTTGTATACAGGTGTATTGGAAAATAAACATTAAGTGAGTTTGTGAAAAACAAAGATACCCCTGTTGTTTCATGCAAATAATTTCACAGTATTCTTGTGTAACTGAAAGAAAGAAATATTTTACATTTGTTTAACAGCTGGTTTTTTTTTTGTTTTTTTTTTTTTGTTCTAGAAGATAAATAAGTGCTTAGCAATGCCTCATTTTTTTTCAGGCCTGAAAACAGTTTCCAGTGACATATGGTAAGCATACCGGGGTGTATGGATGCTGTAATATTGCAATGATGTCCAGATCAGTGCATTATGCAGTATATACTTTCTGAGCAGTAGTGAACTTGTTCTCGGAAAATTGTGTCATCCCCCACTGAGTAGCAACAACAACAAAAGGAATGAATAAAAAAAATAAGGTCACAAATTAGGAAGTAGGGAGAATGTTTACATTATATACTAAAGCTGATAAATTATTTAATAGTCTGGAGTTTTACACAAAACTTTTCACTCTGATTAAATAAATTTGCCTGAGAAATTTCATTATTTATGAGTGCTCACAGTGTAGGAGCTCTGTGCACAAAGTTATAAGCAAAGGTTTTTTTAGGTCATTTGTGAAAAAAAGTTCTTACAACTCTATTTCAGTAATTTACTTTTAATGTCTTTTTTAAATTTTCATATAAAGATAATTGTCCACATAGGCAACACTTAAAAATATCAGACATATTTGTTTTAAAAGGTAACAAAGTTTATTTTACATCAAAAATTGAATTGATTTGGGATAATTATCCAGATCCATATCTCCTCTATTTCTCTGTGACAGTGTTATAAAACAGCAAGTTGCTTTACAGCATGCAGAAAACAAACTGTTAAATCAAAAATTCCTGAGGGAGTTTTTCCTTTCCACTGATGACTTCATGCTTGCTCAAGATAAGAGTCCATGATGAAGTTAAAATCAAAGCAGTCTGCTCCTCAGATAAATAATAATATTAATTTACTTTTATGTATATAAATGTTTCTGTTCAGTGCCCTGAGATGACTTCTGTTGTGAATTGGCTCTCTAAAAACAAACTGAATTGAAAATCTACTCGACATCTTTCAGTACCATGGAGAGCTCATTTACAAGCAGTCCAATAATGATCCATCAGAGGTCGCACTTCTGCCGTGTTTACCTGCGGAACCATCGAGCGAGAGCCTCCACAAAACTGGGGAGCGCAATTAGTGTAACACAATCTCACATAATGTAAACGAAAGGTAAATAACTCAGCTTATTAACACTTTTTCTGTTAAACACTGGTTCTGTTATGCCCAGTCTAAGATGGAATATGATATTTTATTGGTGTGACCTATTTGCTTTATCCATTGAATAATTTAATTATCGGAATGTCGCGTCTAGTCGGCTAATTTAACTTAGTTAGCTTCCAGCTCAATGCAATCGGTGCTATCGTCTGCCCATTAAGTGAGCTCGAGGAGGGTCATAGTATAAACTAGTTATATGTACACGCCGTTTAAAAATAAAACCACAAAGTGTGTCTTATTAGGAAAAACTGCATTTAAAAACCTTCTGTGGGGTTTTGCTTAAAAGTTTACGCCTCCTGGGCAAAATGTGCTGTCCAGATGAAATGTAGGGACACCTAATTGGCTTAATGGGTTGCACTTTTAGTCTTGTTTTTAACTTTAACCTCAGATTAGGTTACTACTCAAATTAAAAATAATAATAGTAATTAAACACTTGATCTCTTTTTAGTAATGAGTGGCTAATTTTATGTTTTATGTGGATTTTTTAAAAGGAAACACCCCTGTAGAGCCACTGTAGTACAGTGTATTTTATTTGTATAAAAAATGTTCTTTGTTTATATTTTCTACTTTAAAAATAAAAAACTTTTACCTGCAGTTTTAGTCAGGAATTACCAGAGATGCTGTTTTAAATTCAAAGGATACTGTTCAGCTGGTCTTTGACTACACAGTTAATTGGGATCACAGCTTTGACTTTTTGCTCTCACCTTCATGTATCATCAGTTCACTTGCAGAATTTTAGTAACACTCCTTCTACTTTCCTCTAAGGCTCGTTAACCACGGTGCAGCAGACTAAACCATGAGGGCCGCCTGCCGCGTTCCACTAGTTTTGTTAGCCTGTGGCTCTTTTAATCCAATCACCAATCAGCACATGAGGCTGTTTGAGCTGGCCAGGGACCACATGCACTGCACAGGTTTGCTCCAATCATAACTTGCATCAACTCTACCAATAGTTTTAACTTTATGCAATGTTGATTAACCTCAGTGTTTGTAAGATTTTCTTTTTAAACCCAGCTAATTGTTTGTTTTTAAATAAACTAATAACCAAATTAATGTGTTCTGTGATGAGCATGTTTAACTCTACAGATCTTTCCAAACTTGATCTTTATTTTTGGTCACGCATGCAAAAATATACATTTTTGTGTCATTTGAAAACGTATGTTTAAACATATTTTTTCTTCCGCAACCTAATGATCAACAGAGGTGAAGCAGGCGTTCAATCAAATAGTAAAATACAAAATGAAGTAATAAATGAAGAAATAAAATGAAAGCTTATTTCCCTACTGTTATGTTTTTGTTTGATAGTACAAGACTTAATATTAAACTCTGCAATGCTCCTTGCATATTTGCAAGAGTGTGTTTAAACTGCTAATTTTACATTTAAGTGAAACTATCAGGAATTGTAAGAATTAGATTTAAGAAATAAGAATTGTCCTGAATTCTGCACTCTAAAAAGAGGGGGAAAGTGCCAGTAAATTCAAGTAAATGGTAGTGCCTGCAGTTAAACAAAAGACTTGTAGATTAAAAATAAGAATACATTTTATAAAAGACTCGTTTAGTAGATCAAAATACATTATCCAGTAAGATTACATCATCATTAAATATTTTTTGTTGTTGTTTTAGATATTTTTGTTTGAAAACCACTTAATTGATAGACAAGTATTCTCACCTTAATTAGAAGAAGAATTTCCAGTAGCCTATCCAGCATTAAATGGCAGACATCTTATTTAAAAACCACCTCAAAAGGAACTTAGAACACAAAACAAGCTAGCAGTATATATTCTCCTATTTCCTGAATTTGAATTTGTACAAATTACCTTATCAAAAAGAGACTATTGGTTAACAAAAAGGATACTAATTACCGGTATATCCATATACCTAAAGTAGCTCTGCTTGTATCATTTTGTGAGATAAGCTATGTGTCTTGATGTAAACTGTCAGCAGACAGTTCCCTTATGTAAATACAGTACCATCTGCATCATATAGTTGCTTTTAATAAGGGCAATGACCTCATCACATGGCCATAAAAGCAATTATTACTCTTTTGGCATTATACTTGTTCAGATCTTTCATATTAAGATGGTTTATGAATGTATGCAAGATTCATATTACCGTTATCAGAAACACTAATGTGTTTACAGATTTTTCTTTGACCAATAACTTCTTAGATATCAGCTGACTTGCCTGAAAATCATTATTAGAAAAAAGAAACTGTCCAGATAACCTGACTGAAAAATGTTGGATTGTATTCCTGGATTATTGAGCATGGACTTTATTGTTAGATGCACTTAATGCTGCACTTATGAACTGTTTTGTTTCTAATTTTTATTCTCTGTTTCAATGCAAATATTTCTGTTGTGGATTTATACAATTTGCACCTGTTTAAGTTGAGTTCGCTGTTGAAAGCTGCATCTAAACATTTCGTTAGTGTAACATAATGTAAGCTATTAAAAATGTTTTGCTCAAATATCTTTATCTCCCAATTACAAAAGATCAGTTTAATCCTTTATCTTCAAAAGTCTGACAATAAATTCATGATACTACCTCAGTATCACCGATAAAATACTTTAATGAATAATATTTCATTTTTATTACCTATAATGACGTTTTTTTTTCTCTTTAGGTCAGTATGATGTAGTGGGAGGCATTGTGTCTCCAGTGAGTGATGGCTATGGAAAGCAAGGTCTTGTACTTGCTAAGCATCGCATTGCTATGGCAAAACTGGCACTTCAGAGCTCCGACTGGGTCAAGGTTGATGAATGGGAAAGTCAGCAATCAGACTGGACGGAGACAGTGGTCACTATGAGGTAGGGCAACATTTATTAAACGGCTCAAAACAGCCAGAGGGTTGAGGCCTGGCTAAAACATGTAGGTGTCAAAGTATTACAGACTGAAAAATGAAGATACAAAAACTAAAAGTGTCATCATTTAAAATCCAATTCTCAAATTAAAATAACTAAAATGGGTGAAGAAGCCTGACTTTAGTAGATCTAAACGAAATAATAACACCAAAAAAAAGTAGCAAAATAGATGTGCCTTAATAAAAAGCTGAGTGGAAACGGGGTCCTCGTGAACGAATGGTGCATATGAAAAAAAGGTTGCATGCTCCAGGTTACATGCACACGTCAGCATGCACACTTTTGACCTGCCATGAGAATGTGTGTACTGCCACACACACACTGTAAGTCCAATGTCTCAAACTAAAAAACACTGAAACTCACCTAAATATGTCAAAATTTGACTCCATTTGTTTTTCTGAACCCAGCAGGTATTTAAATGTTTTCTCATGTGTTTGAGCATCTAAGGTTTAAAGCCGAATGATGAATTGAACCACGTTAAGCCTCATACAACACATATAATGCCTCAAAAATGATCTAAATAACTTCACTCTGATGTAAACGGCAGTTTTCTTTACCTTTGTCACATGTAGATGTAAACACAAGTCTGTGACCACACCTACATGGCACAAAGACACATGATGTGCATAAAATGCATGTGAATTGTCTATGGGGCACTTCCATTCTTACCTTGCTCACATTCTTTGATTGTCCTGTTTGAGCCGTATGCTAGTTAAAGTCATCCTCATGCTGGGATTCATTGCAGCAGGAATGTTTCAGAGGGAGCTGGCTTAAAGGTCGGGTATTTCACAGTCATCCCTAAGCCATGCCAGCTGTATGGGATGCGGTAATCCATATGATGCCTTGACATATTAAATTCCCCTACACCGTAGCTGAAATGCTCTGTTGATGTGCAAGGACTCATTTCTTGAGATCAACTACTTGAAAACAAGCCTCAAAGGTCTACCAAGCCCCCAAGTGCCTCTGTGTGTACAGTAATTATGTTACGAAACATATGGATAAAGTTGGAAATGCCTCAGAAGTGCACAGCTCAGCGCTTCCTTTTACATTTGATTTAATGACAATAGCAGGGTGTATTTCATTAGTGGTGTTTAACGTTATTGGATGAGTGGAGATGGGCAGCCATCCTTCACTCCAACATTTCTGTCTGACCATTTAACCTTTTCGGTACTTCTGCAGTGTGCGCTGCTCTGACAACCGCAGCTTCAAACACAAAATCACTCCTGTTTGACTAAGGACGGTGTGCCAAAGTTGTTCTGTTAGACCTGCATCTATTTGCATGTTTAAATGGGGTGTGTCAGGGGAGGTGGTGTCTTCTGTGCGCTCAGTTCCACATTCATTCGAATGAAGAAAAGAATGGTGTGCAAAAATATGCATGCATGCAGTTGACACATCTGATGCGCACACCAATTTTCAGTATCAAAGTGTGCACAGTTTTCCTACTGAAAGCTGCCGTAGGGACAAAATCAGAAAAGTGCATGCGTACAGAAATGTCCATCAAACCGTGTGCACGCATGTTCCTGCTCACCTTTTCTTCATACATCCCAACGAATGCAGACCTGAGTGCACATAAGACACCTCCCCTGACACGTCTACATTTAAATATGTCAAATAGATGCAAATATGTTTTGCATGTGGGATTCTCTTCTCTGCATGTAAAAAAATAAATAAAGTCTAGATGCAGAACACTTAGGAATTTTGTGGAATGTGTGTCAGAGACACTCAAATAAGTAGTGGGGTTAAAAACATGTTTGCCACACGTACAAAGACGAGTGTGCGTTGTCGTTGAATGAAGCGAACGGGGGACGCTGCTCTGCCAGCGGCCCAGTTCTGGGTCTGCATTTTCAACTTTTCTCATGTTTAATAGATTACAGTACACAAACACTCAGGAGCTTGAACTTAGAAGCTTATTCTTTAAATAGTTGATGTAAGAAAGGAGTTGCTGCGTATCAACAAAACGTTTCAGCAGCTGTGTGGGGAAATGTTATATATATCTGGACATTATATGGATGAGATTGTCTCATACAGCCGGCATGGCATGGCATGGCTCAGGGACGAATGAGAAATACTCCCATCAGTATTTTGTTGGTGTAATCCCCAAAACACACTGCCTCCCAGTTTTTCTATTGGTGATGACCTGCAGCTCCACTGCTGTCATTGTTCCAAAATTACTAAAGACTTTACGCAGCTATTTATGGATATATGAGATGGTCTGCATTTTGTGAACCTGAGGAATCATCATGGGTGAGATGTGCTGAATTAATTTGCTGATCCGACCCCGTTTTCTTCACCATGAGAGTGAAAGTGCTCTTTAGACGATTCACACACGCTTTATGCTCCTCAGCTGTCTGTGCGTCTCACAGGTGTGCATGTTTACATGTACATGTGACAAAAATATAAGGATTTTTACAGTTTACATTGGAGTGAGGCTGTTTTGATCATTTTTGAGGCGTGTTAGATGTTATGTTGCTTGAGGTTAAATGTGGTTCAGTTTTGTCGTTCAGATTTAAACCATGAATGCCTCATTTCTATTAAATACCCCTTAAGTTCAGAAAAACAAGCAGTCAAATGTTGGTGCTTTTAGGAAACGTTCACTTCTTTCTAGTCTGATACTGTGGATGGAAAAAGTTTGCATAGAGGCGAGCACATTCTCACATCAAGTGTGTAATGTGTAGGTGTGTACAAGCGTGAGTATATTTACATACATGTGTGCATGTGTGTATATTTAATGTGTGTATAAGGTGTGTATATTTGCGCACACTTTCATGCAACATTCATTTTTTTGCATCCTGACGTGTGCGTGGAACAAGGCGCACACAACCTTTCTGTGCATAAGCACTGTTGATGCATGAGGCCCCAGGTGAGTAAATGAGGAACAGAGAACACGAACTTCTGTAGACATAATAAGGGTAACTGGGGATGTGGGGAAACGACAAGCAACATGAGAGAACTAAACTCCAAGACCTTTTTTTCTGAACTCATTAAGTTCTTCCAGTAATAAAATAATACATGAAGCAAATGCTGACTAAACAGAGCAAGTTAGGCAAACACAAACAGTAAAGGTTAACTTCGATACAAAATCTGGTGAAGACCTAAAATTTAAATAAAAACAAACCCAAAATAGTTGGGCATTCATTTGTTATAAGGAATGGTTTCTAAATGAAAGGTACATTTGTGCAAGAAAACAAATGCTGTTGTTTTTGAGTGAGTATAAGATTGTATAAAACTGTATTTTTTTTTTAAGTTATTTGCTCACTTTGATGCTAGCAACACATTATGATTAACATTTTATTTTAAGGCAGTTTTTAAAAATGGGGTTGTATTTTATGCAGGGGTGAACAGGACTGTATTTATTTACCAGCCTTTCATTATGTTAGTTTTATTATAATTTATGTTTATCCAAAGTTTGACCAGGTTTGACGAAGTGAAGATTCAACACAATCTGCTGGCTTCCTTATATAGATAACTTTTACTTCCGGTAATTGGCTTTTATAATGTACGTGGATGTTTCTGTTCAGTGCCTTGAGACGACTTCTGTTGTGACTTGGTGCTACAGAAATAAATTGAATTGTGTTGAAAACTGAATTGAATTGTAATTTGGGAGCAAATATTATCTAACTTATCTAAATCACACACATAGATATATGCACATACATATACGTGCATGTATACATGCATGCACATCCACATTATAAAATGCATTAAATGCAAGTTAAAAATCAAATGTATGCATAAATACACTCATAGGGACGAAGTGGCAGATCTTACCTGTCTGACCGCCTCAGGGTAGAAGCTGCATTCGAGTCTTGTTCTGGCCCTAATGCTCTGTAGTTTTTGGCCTGAGGGGAGGTGGTCCAATAGTTTATAGACATGGTGAGTGGGGTCCTTCATAATGTTGGTTTAGATGTCCTCCAAAGAAGGGAAACTACAATAAGTGGTCCTCTGATAGTAGTGCTCTATCACACACCAATAGGCTGCACTGGGGAGTTGAGACCTGCCTCAGCCTTCTGAGGAAGCACAGGTGCTGGTAGGCCTTCTTGATGATGTTCTGAGTGTTAATGGTCCATGTCAGATTCCTGGAAATGTGGAGTCCCAGATATTTGAAGCTGTGGGTCATTTCTACAGCTGTACCTCCGATCACCAGCAGAGAGTAGGTGTGACTCCTCCTTCTGAAGTCCACCACCATCTCTATAGTCTTACCTACAATAAGGTGGAGGTTGTGCTACCCACACCAGTCCATATGATCCTCTACCTCTCTACGGTAGGATTACTCTTTATCGTGGAATATCAGTTCCACAACAACTGTGTCATCTACAAATTTCACAATACAACTGCTCAGAGTGTACAGGAGGGGGCTGAGGACACACCCCTGCGGAGAGCCAGTGTTGGGGATGATGGGGGAATATGTAGTGCTGTGGATCTTGACACGCTGAGGCCGATGTGTCAAAAAGTTCAGCAATAAGTTCATTAATAATAAACAAGTTAGTTCAGAGGTCTTTAACCATCGTAATTAAAGCACCATATTTACAATCTCTCCTTTATATCGAGCCACAAAAGCGTCTTGAGCGTTAGCTTCAAAATTAGGATAAAAAATAAAAACTATAAGTTTCAACCATTTAGTTTCATTCAAAATTGTGTTAGTTATTTATCACCTACACCGTGCATGTATAACTAATTTATATGTCTATTATCAAAAATGAGTTTACACAGGCAACCAAGCCACCTAAAATCAATAATGACATTCTGCTGCAAAAATGTTTCGGACTTATTGCAAATATCTGGACTAAAAAACTGCTAAGAGTACTTTTTCTAGTTGTCAGTTTAGATATAAGATTATTTAGGTTTGTGTTATTCTTGGTCAAAGCCACAAGGAGCCACTTCAGGGGGTCTGAAAAGCCATATGTGGCTCCAGAGCCTCAAGTTGCAGACCCCGGGGTTAGCTTGATGAGTATTTTTTTCCCCATTAAAGACTCTTGAATAATCTGAATGTCCACCTCCTGACACGATGTCGAGAGAGTAATTTAGGCCTTTGGTATCTCTTACTTAAGCCGTTGTCAATATTTGTATGCTGGACTTTTATCAATTGCTACTTTTTTGACAACAGGATGTATAAAATGCAGCTACCTGTTTTCTAGCAGGATAACTTATCTGGGACTTTGCTGTAGATACCCAATCTGTCAAACTGCCTACAGTTTAGATAAAAGTTGACCCAGATTTTGCCTTGCATCAATCATTTCAGCCATTTTTTCCTGCTGGCTTTTTATATCCTCCCTCTAGTTGCTGCTCCCTAATTTTTACAAATCTCATAAGTGCCCTGTGCTCCCCTCCCAGCTGGTCGTCTCTAAGCCGTGTTTGTACAACACGTGTACTGATCAAGGCGTGAATTGGACCGTTGTCCCCAAGGTCGTTTGTTAGCTGACCACGTCACACGCTGCTCACAAACACATGCACATACATGTACACACAGTGAAAAGTACTGGACCAGCTTTAAGAAGCTTTGTTTGAACACACACTAGTGGTTTCTTGTTTGTTTTTTGTACCTTTATGAGGTTCTCCGAGTTACGGTCAGTTTGAGAAATGAGAAAAAAAAAATACTGAATTCAGTATAAAAAAAAAGTATGATGCAGTAGAATGGGAGAATATTATAGCGAGTAAGGAACACTAATTGAGAAGTGAATAATTTAGTATTTTGTCGTGAAGTAATACATTTTCTTTTGTTGTTGGGCAGGTATCATTATGAGCGCATTCTGAAAGAGCATGAGCCGAGCACAGGAACACACAGCAGCCCCGTTGGAAACAATACAAACGTCTCAAGTAAGAATCTGTCATTGTTGAAAAAGTAGGATAATTCAAGACCTGCCTCTTCTGATCGCTGTTATTTTACCTAACTTTAAGAAATCTTCCTGTTTTGTACGAGTAAGCTCAGTTATTCATTTTATTCCAACCTGAAATATTTGAACTATTTCATGTTTATTTGTTTCACATAAAGCTGCAGAGTCCAGAAGAGTTCTAGCCTCTTGCATCAATCTTCTGACCTTTTCTGCAACCGTATCAGGACTGTTTCAAATACAGCTGCTTAGGATCAAATATTGACAGCATTAATGCCATTCCTTACCGTCTTAGCTGTTCTTTGTGTTTTAGGGCTACTTATCTTAAATGGTGAGTGTATTAAAGATTGGAGCTTAAGTTCAACTTGTCGTTTGGGCACACCAGAGTACCAGCTTCTTCATTTCCTGTAGAATGGCAGGGGATAATATTAGTTTAATACTCGTATTCAACGGGCTCAGAGGAAGGATTTAAATCAATCCCCTATAATGCTCCTGTGCTCCAAGCCTTGTGGTGCTTTGTGTTCCCTTAAAGTATCTCATTTCTTTCTGAATGTGCCATAACTGTTATCAGGAACATTGTCACTGATAAACTGTGGTTTATGTAAACAAAATTTGAGATAATATTTTGTTTCCTCAATCCATTTTTTGCTCAGATGCCATAGTCCATGAAAAAATTATGTTTTATACAATAGTCAATGTATGTTAGTCTCTTTTTCAGTCTGCTTTTTCTTGTCCTGATGCTGCTCAATAATCCAGGTAGATAAGGTTGAGTCAGGTCCTCTGGATGGATTCTTCATGTTGAAACATTTCGTCTTTTGTCCAAAAGACTTCTTCAGTTTGAGGAGCTGCAACAAACTCAGTCTTATAAGCAGCGCCTTCTCATAGTGGAACAACCAGTTTTCTGATGACAGCTAAATTGTTCACAAAAGGAGGACCATCAGCCTAATCGTTAGTGCCCTGAAGTTCGCTTGCTATTCACAGGGGGCTGAGTGATACTTGCAATAACAGCATTGTAAGAGGGGGACAGTTGAACACAGAGGCCTCCGCCCCTGTTTAACGATGGATAGGTTGTCTTACCAAACATAGCTTCCGTTACTCCGATCTCCAGCGTTCCTGTCTATCAAGGGTGCGTGTTAGGTACAAAAATATCCTTAATTATCTACCAGTACTTACTAGTGGTGTAACGGTACATGTGGGTGTATTGAACCATTTCAGTACAGCATGTTTGGTTCAGTCCACGTGCGTACCGTTTCTGTTGTTTTTTCACTCATTAAATTTTATTAACGAGAGATTATGCGCCACAGAACTAAAGTTCCTATGCGTGTTTCAGCACGGCGCTATTAATTGTTGCATAGTTTTGCAGTACGCGTAGCATTAGCAGCCTAGCATCTCGTTGCGGTCTCCTGTTTGGGAACATTATGGCTTTCTTGTGCAAATCCAAAGCTGTGTGTCAGCGTTGTTTCACGAAGATTGGATCTGCAGCAGGCAACACGTCTAAGTTGTTAATGCTCTTGAAACCACATCATCTGAACGTGAATGTCTCTTCTAGCAGCTTGGTGCAAAGACCGATAACAGCAGCATTTAACGGGTAATTCAGATCAGTACAAAGCAATAACACAAGCTGTAGGAGTTTTTAAAGCTCTGGATCTACGGCCGAATGTTGTTGATGCGCCGGCTTTAAGCATATGGTTAAAGTTCTTGAGCCCCGCTGCTTACGACATCCCATCACGTCAACACTTCAGCCAAAAAGTTGTAGCAGCACTTTATGAAAAAGCTAAAACTGATCGTCAACGAGCCCGACCCCAGATTTCAAGCCCTGCGCTGATGATGATGAGCGAGAGATTCAACCACCTCACTCGGTGACGGTGCAAGAAGAGGTATTGTTATTGTATTATTGTGATCTAATTAACTTTTTTAATTTAAAATTATAATCTTATTAACTCCATTTTTTTTTTTTTTTTTTTACCTCTTTGTGTTTGCAGTCTGAGGATGTCACAGAGAGCTGAGCAGCTGAGTCTTCTTCCACTTCAGGGAAATTTTTTATTTATTTTTGTATAAACGTATTTTTATTTGGCATATTTTCAAAATAAACATCTTGCAAGTCTTCTTTTTGGCCTTTTTTGTACTGAAAATTAACCGAACCGAGCACTCCTTGAAATTTAAGTAAACCAAAAAGTGATTTTAGCGTACCGTTACGCCCCTAGTACTTGCTTTTAAAGAGCCACACACGAAGACAGGAGATTTTTCATCCCAGTTTACTTGCAATGGCAGAGTTCACCACATATGTTTCAAAGTTACATGCTTAAAGCCCCGTCATGAGAATCTGCAACGGGCAGTGTACAAGAAGTGTTTTTTATACACGCTTATCAGCACTATAGGTTATGATGGCCTCAGCTCCCCAGCTCACAGACCGTCCTTGGAGTTATTGGGTGCCTGCAGGATCCTCTCTAAACTCACACACATGGTTCAACATTAATTTAACATTAGCAGTGATGAACATCCATAAACTTTTACCAAAATTCCCCTGACAATGTGCACACCTTAATCCCTGAAAGAGTGAGCGCTGGCCTGCAGATGAGTGTAGACCACAGAGTCCAGGTCTGATGATGTTGCTCTTTTGTGCTGGACCATCCTTTTGTCCAGTGGCTGTTTAGTTTACCCGATGTATAAGAGTAATGTGCAAGGAGAACTCTGATCAATTATACATATTTTGCATGTGAACAACTAGTTCTGGCTGTCCGCAGCAAACTGGTTGATCCACTATGAGAAGGTGCTATTTATAAGACTGAGTTTGTTGCAGCTCCTCAGACTGATGAAGTCTTTTGGATAAAAGATGAAACGTTTCAACAAAGAAGAATCCGTCCAGACCTGACGCAGCCTTGTTGGACTTTTTTCTTGTATTTTTTTTTTTTTTTTCATTTAGCCTTTATTTATCCAGGTTAGTCTCATTGAGCCACGAGAACTCATTTTCAAGAGCGACCTGTTTAGGGAGCAGATGGTGGGGTTAAGGGCCTTGCTCATGGGCCCAGAGTGGGGCGAATGAGGGTGGGGGCAAGTGTGGGTGTTTCACCCACCCCACCCACTGTATGGGTGTTTAAACACAAGTTCACAGTGTTTGGTTCTGTAGTAAAGTAAAATTTCTGGAATAATGTGTTCCATGCAACTTTCTTTTGTCTCTACCTTGCTGAGCATCTTATAAGTTGCAGAAATAATGGGTCAATTTTAGTCACATGTTTTTATTTGGCAGTCAGTGAAAGTTTGTTCTTTTTTATTTATTTTATATCCCTAACATCACTGCTTACAGGCTTAAAATGTTGGCTCTTCGACAGTGTGAGCAGTTAGTCAATCATGTAGTATTATGGTGCATTTTTGTAGTTTGATTGTGGATTAGCCAGCTGGCAAAAATCCAGTGAAATATTTTTACGTATTCAAAACAAGTACCACTTGAGGATTAGATTTCTGCTGTTGCATTTGCATAGATAAAGGCACAGGAAGAGTAGGCTGAGAAATCAGCCAAAGTGCAGAATATATGGTGGAAAAATCATTTCAGGAACACAACAGATGAAAATTGAACCCATGGTTAATGAGTTCATATCAAACAGTAGAAACGGGCTTGAGTTATCTAATTATTAGGTAGTTTTATTATTTGACTAATGTTGAGAAGCTTAAAAATATAATGCATCAAATCTGTTTTTTTTTTCTCTTCCTCAGGTCCAGCTCCCAGATTGAAGCTTTTGTGCGGTGCTGATTTCCTGAACACCTTCAAGATTCCTGGCCTGTGGCTGGACGATCACGTAGAAGACCTGGTTGGCCGGTTCGGCCTCGTCTGCGTCAGTCGAGGGAGTCTGCAGCCCGAGCGTGCCGTGCACGAGTCAGACACACTGTACCGCCACAGACAGAACATTTTCCTAGTGAGGGAATGGGTGAGGAATGAGACGAGCGCTACAGAGGTCCGGCGTGCACTGAGACGCGGTCTGAGCGTCAAGTACCTGATCCCGGACTCTGTGATAGATTATATTCACAAGCACGACCTCTACACGGAGGACAGCGAGAGTCGAAACGAGGGCACGGTCCTGCGGCCGCTCGTTAAACAAGCACAGCAGCCGCTAAAGAGTCTGAACGACTGAGCTGAACTTTAACAGTCTCTCCTCTCGCTAGCAGAGACAATGTGTGCACAGAATTTGCAAATAGTCTGATGTCTCTTGACTCAAGCACAAGAAGTGTTTTAAATGTTAGTTTTTTATGCTACAGAGTCACTTATGTTTACTTATAAAATGTTTTGCAGTTGTTGCACATCACTGCGATTACATAAATTGTAATATGTGTGTATTTGTTTTTGCTTCATTGTGTGAATGTTTATCAAGCATTCACACTATTGTGATCCATTTCTTTTCCGTACGTTTTTTCGGCGCATTTCTCCTGCAGTTTTCAAGCTATTTCAACAAATCAATAAGCATTCAGCTCTTGCAGGACAATCCTGCTATGAATTTTGGTATTAGTGCAACTTTAGCTTTTTAAAATAATTAGCCTTTTTTCCCATTTTTGTATCATAGAAAATGAATTGAGCTCATTTTACATCCTTCAGATATTTAGATCTTTAGATCTGTTTACAACCGTTGACTGGTTCAGCTTTTTTCAGCTTCCTTGTGCAAATTTAAACTTTTTCAGATACTTTCAGCTAATTTCAGCTGTTTTGTGCTCCTTTCAGGATCTTTCTGCTAATTTCAGCTTGTTATGCTCCTTTAAGCTTATTTCCTGCATGTTTCAGCTTTTACTGCTATTTTAGCTACTATTCAGCTATTTTTATAGTAATTTTAGCTTTTCAGCTAATTCCACATTTTTTGCACGCATTTAAAGTTTTTTCAGCCTAATTCAGTAAAAATGTGCTCTTTCCCCTTCCTTCTGGAATTTTTTTTTTTTTTTTTTTTTGCCTTTGTAGATTAGTTTCAGCAGGGTTTTTTTTTTTGGGGGGTGGGGGGGTGGGGGGTGGCTAATTTAAGCATTATTCAGATAATTTTCACTTTTTAGTGCAAATTTCTGCTTCTTTCAGCATAAGTGGGCAAACTTGTTTCAATTCAATTCAAAAATACTTTATTAATCCCACAGGGAAATTATTTTGTTGTTGTAACTCGTTATCCTCATTTCATTAAGAGATGTTATCGATGCTGATGCTGTAGACGGGAAGGATCTCTTGTAAAGGTCCATCTCACAGTGGATCCTAAGAAACTGGCTGCAGATGCCGTCCGATCCGTCCACCCAGACTCGGCTGGCCTCTTGGTTCCCCTGGACGGTAGGGCCGCTTGAATGCTGGGCAGAACTCCTCCCACCCAGAGCGATGGCCACTCCTCCCAGTAGTCTGCCGAGCTCCTCATAGCTGCGGACAGCCAACTGTAGGTGCTGAGGGACGATCCTGTCCTTCTGCTGTCATGAGCCGTGTTTCCTGCTAGTTCCAGGATCTCAGTGATCAGGCACTCGAGCACAGCTGTCAGGTAGATGAGAATGCGTCCATAGAACATCTTTTTCAACTCATTTGAGAGTTGGGGCCATAGCTTAGATATTATTTCAGCTTTTGAGATGTTATTCAGCTGCTGTTGTTGTAGAAAACAGCCTTGTTGCCATGGTTACGCATCATAACAAATGCCCAAAACTAAAAAAAGTTTCAGTAAAAATCCTTCCAGCTGCACAGCATTCGATACCAGAGGAAACAATCATCCAAAAAATGTGATTTATATCCAGAAAAAGAGGAATTAAAGTTTCCAAAAGCAAAATCTCAGAATGAAAGTAACAGAGCTGCTCCAACATGCAGCCACCTGGAGCGGCGCAATTCTAGAATTCGAGAATTCTAGAAATTTGTTCTGCTTTCTTCTTCTATTTTAAGCTTGTTCTACTTTTTCAGTTAACTTTTTAGCATTATTTAGCTAATTTCAGATAAATTCAAGGTTTTCGTGATAATTTCTGCTTCTTTCAGACTAATTCACTTTCTTCTGCTAATTTCAGCATTTTATGCCTCTTTCAGTTTATTCCTGTTAGTTTCAACTTTTTCTGGTATTTAAGCTACTATTTAACTGTTTTGTGCTGAAGTTAGCTTTTTCAGCTAATTCCACATTTTTTTTAGCTCTTTTCAGCTCCATCCACTTCCTTTAAGCTTTAAGTTTCACTTTAAGCTTTATTCTGCCTTTTTAGATACTTTTCGGCTGGTTCTAGCTAATTTCAGCCTTTCTTTTTTAGCTACCATAATTTCTTAATTTTTGTGCTAATTCCTGCTTATTTAAACCTAATTGAGCAAATGTGTGTTTTTGTTCTGCTTTCTTCTGCTAATTTAGGCTTGTTCTTCCAGTTCAGCAGCATTTCAGCAGGTTTTTAGCTAATTTCAGCTGTTTTTCAACAAGTTTTCTGCAATAAGCATTCATACTGCATTTTCGCAGGAAATGCAATTTCTCTAGTTCATTTTGTTTTTGTTATTCTCAACCTCAGATCTCAGTTGCCTGTGTGCTCTGTTGAAATTATTAGATCATTAGCAGCAATCAAGTTCATGACTGGCAGAATCACACTTGGTGTTTAATAAATAAGACTAGAAAAATTAATTTAAGCAGTGCAGCTGATGTGAAAAGCTTTAATTACACCAACTAAAACCTAAACATGTTTCAGCATAAAGCATAAATCTGTTAAATATTTTTACACACAAACACACAAAAAAACCCTGATTACAAACGAGCATTAATTTTGTTTTTTTTTTCCTATTTATTATTAACCAAATGCATAAATTACCAAAGAAGGAGCCAAAAGTTTCTGAGGCATTTGTGTACATGTTAGCATTAGATCAATAAGATTTTGTTTGTAGCCTGTAATCAGTCTTTTCTCCCCATTTTTCCATCCAGTATGGATTTGGGTGTCTGTTCTTCCCAACACCAATTCAGTGTGGATCCATTCATTCTCCCCCATTATTCCTCACACACTGTGTCTTACTTCCACCCGAGGATTTAAAGTAATCCTGACAGTTGCTCAGCTACAGGAGGTGTTTTCTCTCTCAGGCCAATGAATGAAAATACTGGCTTGCCACTGATGCTGGATGGCAGCCTCTAAAAATGATGATGATGATGATGATGGTGGTGTGTGTATCAGTGTTTGAATGTCAGTGAATGACTTACAAAGCTGTTTTGCTGCAGCTGACTCTAAAGAGAGATTATCAAATTAATTGAGTTATTTAGACAAGACAAAAAAGCAGAGATGAGCCTTTTGTGAAACCCGTAATAGATTCAGATGAATGTTTTTCAGCTCAGTTGATCTGAATGTTCCCGTTACTACAGAGCATTTTTAACAAACAGCTGAAAAGATTTTTATTCTAATTTTATTCACATGAATTTGCATAACAAATCTATTTTCTAATAAGAACAAGAACAGAGAAAACAGGGAAAAAAAAGTAGCAGAATGGTAACTAATAGTAATCCGGGTAGAAAATCCAACAAAGTTCAGTCAGGTCATCTGGAGGTTTCTTTTTTTTTTTTTTGAGACGTTTCATCCTTCATCCAAAGGACTTCATCAGTCCGAGAAGCCACAACAAACTTAGTCCCACAAGCAGGAAACCCACATAACGGACCAACCAGTTTGCTGGTGATAAGATGGTTTCTGGGGCCCGCCCTCTCCCCCGTTGACTCCTCTGAGGCAGCATAGTCAAAGTGGTTCAAAACATCAAAGTTCATGCTCAATAATCCAGGTAAAAAATCCAACAAAGTTAAGTCAGATCATCTGGATGGTTTCTTTTATTGTTGGACGTTTCAGTTACAAGATTATTGAGCATGAACTTTAATGTTTTGAACCATTTTGGCTACGGTTGCCTCAAGAAGAGTCGATGGGGGAGAGGGCAGCCCCAGAAACCATCTTATCTTATTTAGAGACTTTTTCTCAGGTTACCTGTAAGAGCAGACGCTTTATTGACAGTTTTGTAGTCGCAGAGTTTTCTTCCCTCTTTTCATTTACGACACCTCCTGATGATGACGACGATGATGATGATGTGGAGCTTCTGGTTGACTCTTTTAATGATCACTGCCTTACCATTCTTGACAGTACTGCTCCTTGCAAAACCCACTGTGGGCCCGTTTACCGCTGTTCACCTTGGTTAAACTATCAAACTCGAGAACTCAGGCGCTCTTGTCGGAAAACTGAACGCTTGTGGAAGAGGACTGGTCTGGTTGCCCACCGGGAATATTTTAAGGAGCTCCTTGGTGCTTATAACAAGGCAGTTAGTGATGCCAGGCCATCGTATTTTAGCAATCTTATTCACCTGAACAAAAACAATCCTAAAGTGTTATTTGATACTATCAGCAGTGTTGTATCTCCTCCAGCGCACCAGGCTTCATTAACCTCAAACAATGACTGTAACATGTTTCTCAATTTTTTCATAAAGAAGGTGATGGAAAGCTGACAAATACTCTGCTGCTCGTGGCCTTCGCTCCCAGTCACAGAACCTCTTGGATGTTCCACGTACGCGGCTGAAAACTAAATGGGACAGGGCCTTTCAGTCAGTGGCTCCAAGACTGTGGAACAGTTTGCCCCTGCAACTTCGTTCTGCTGACTCTGTTGAGGTTTTTAAAAAGCAACTGAAAACACTTTTATTCTCCCAGGCTTTTATGTCATGATTTTACTGTGCTTCTTGTAGTTCTTAGGCTTGATTTATTCTTTGTATATTTTAGCGTTGATTTTATTGTACAGCGCTTTGTGATTTTATGTCTGTGATAAGCGCTTTATAAATAAACTTTACTTCCTTCCTTACTTATCACCAACAAACTGGTTGGTCCACTATGGGAGTGTGTTGCTTGTGGGACTCAGTTTGTTCTGGCTCCTCGGACTAATGAAGTCCTTTGGATGAAGGACGAAACATCTCAACAACAACAAAAAAAATGCCCAGATGACCTATGAAATATGTTGGAAATGGCAATGAAACTGTTGCTTTGACCAGTTAAATGTTGAGTTGGCAACATCTGGGCCTTATAGCAGGCATTACGTCAACATTCCCACGTTTCATTGGACGGTCAGAGTGTGGACTGCTCAAATAGAGAACTACATTTGTTGTGATCTGCACATGTCGAGCAAACATTCTCTGCCCCTTAAAGTGAATTAAAATTTATGCCAGAATTATGATGGAAAAGACTCGACTCTCAACGTTTGTTTTCATGGCGATAGAGAAAGACTTGTTGAATAATCACCATGATGACCTGAAGGATGGAGGAACTGAGCTCTTCTAGAGGAAAGAAAGGAAGATGAAGTTTGTGTAGCGATAATTAAAACTTCAGGTGAGTAAAATTCTTATTCAAGTTTTTTTTTTTTTCAATTTATTACATCCATATTGATGCTATTGGTAAATATGTCTGTGGTGCAGCTGAAGGAAACTTGGAAGTTGAGTTTATTGGGTTTCTTGCTTCAGTAATGGCTTTCATTCTTGCTACATGAGATACTCGTCTGTGATACAGAACCATATTATTCCGTGTTTCTGTGTATCATTGATGGTTTATGTAGCCACGAAGTCATAATGACAGTATTAAGAAGTGGATACATTCGGGTAGCACACCATTGAAGGCCTAGGTGTAAAATGCACACCCACCACTTCATTCAATAAATAAATAAATCCACTAAATTAAACAAAAATATTCTTCAGACACGTTTGTTTATAGTGGACTCTCACTATAACCTATGAGTTACTGAAATTATCAAGCAAGGTCTATTGTTCCTACTGATCAAAGATCCCTTTGTAAACATTATAGAAATATGACTGTTGTGATATGCAAAGTAATAATCTGTTTGAAGAGTTGTTTCAGTCAGGGTTTAGAGCGCACCATAGCACAGAAACTGCACTGGTGAAAGATACAAAGGATATTCTCATGACCTCTGACTAACAATGGACAGGTTTCTGGTCCTGTTAGACCTCAATGCTGCATTACATTTGATACAGTTGATCAGAATATTCTATTACAGAGACTTGAATATGATATTGGAATTACAGGAACAGCTCTAAATTGGTTTAAATTCCAATTTGTAAATGTAAATAATTAATCTTCATCATACACCAAAGTTAGTCATGGAGTTCCTCAAGGTTCAGTGCTTGGACAAATACTGTTTACCTTATACAGCAAAGGATACATTTTTATTGTTATGCTGATGATACACAGTTAAATTTGACCATGAAACCTAATTAATCCAAACAGCTACTTAGACTACAAGCATGTTTTAAAGACATAAAAACCTGGATGACCCTAACTGGAGTAGGAGAGATCATATCTCTCCAATTTTATCTTTTCTCCATTGTCTTCCTGTCAAGTCCAGAATTTAATGCAAAATCTTACTTCTAACCTACAAAGCTCTCAACAACCTAGCTCCATCTTATATTTGAGATTTTATTGTTCCGTATTTTCTTAACAGAGCACTTCACTCTCAGACTGCAGGCTTACTTGCGGTTCCTAGAGTTTCCAAAAGCAGAATGGGAGGAAGATATTTCAGTTATCAGGCTCCTCTCTTGTGGAACCAACTTCCAGTTTCTGTCTGTGAGGCTGACACATTGTCCAGGTTTAAGACTGGGATTAAGACTTTCCTTTTTGATAAATCCTATAATTAGGGTTGGCTTGTTATGCTGCTATAGGCTTAGACTACTAGAGGACAAATTGACCTCATTTCCTTAAATGAACTGTTACAAATGAATAGTTTTCATTTGATTCTATTTCTATTTTCATGTGATTCTCGACCTGCCATTGTGCATCTGTTCCTCCTTCCTGTTCCTCTCAAACCCAGCTGGTTGAAGCAGATGACCGCTTGTCCTGAGCCTGGTTCTGCTAAAGGTTTTTCTCATGAGGGAGCTTTTCCTTTCCACTGTCGCCTTCATGCTTGCTCAAGTTGAGAGTTCTGCAGTAAAGTTAAATTCAAAGCAGTCTGCTCCTCAGATAATTAATGTTATTAACTTACATTTTAAGTATATGAATGTTTCTGTTCAGTGCCCTGAGATGACTTCTGTTGTGACTTGGCGCTATATAAATAAACTGAATTGAATTGATCTACAAAAAGCTAAAATATTTTTGGTTTGAGAAGAATAAGAACAATTCCACGCTCTGAGAATAGAATCCCGTCCTCCCATTTGAAAGCCCAGATCACTAACCAATTAAACTATTAAACTCATTATGAGGCTTCCATCCTTTCAGACCTTAGGTGCACTCTGCTCGTGTCAAGGATTATAGGACTGAACCACTCTTAGTTTGATGAGGGGGGACAACATTTTTGAGAGGCATAAATGCCTCATTATGTCTTAATCAATGAAGATAAGCTTTATTTTCTTTATATCACTTAAAAGTAGAATTTTCTCAAGTTATTTATTGGTGGTGGTAGTGGAGGGGTTTCAGTCTTCAGCTTTCCACAATTGGGGGGTTCAGACACATCCAACAACCCCCACTCCCTTGGGATTTCCACCCGTGTTCATGCAATTAAAAAAATTGTTTTGACAGGTAATCGGATTATGGAGTTGGGTTCAAATTGGGACCTTTAATGAGGTTTTTTCTTCACTCCCTCTCCAGCGCCGTCCACCGAGCATCTCTTCTTTACCTCAGCAGAAGAAGAAGAATCTCAGCAATGCCAGTGGATCTGAACGGATACTGGAAAATGGTTTCCAATGACAACTTTGAGGAGTACATGAAAGCGCTAGGTGAGTTTGTGTCTGACCTGGAGAAAAGCATATAATACTATTTTTAAAAAAAAAAGTTTCTTAGGAACTTGCATGAATTTTATTATTATTGTGATTATGGATTTCTATTTTTAACAAAGATAGAACATAATGTTTTGGCCCATGTGTGTGTGCATGTTCTTATCTGTTACCAAAAATACTTCATGAACGGCTGGACAGATTCTGGAAATAATCATTGGATACCTCTAAATTGGATTACGGTACTTTTTGGTGCCAACCCAGTTCAAAATAGCCACAACAACCAGCTGAACCATCAGGAAGCACAAAAATATCTTTAATTCAGTCAGTTTTACAAATGTTGTGCTGAAATTTGGTGTTTTTTTAGATGAGCGTTTATCACAACACATATTCTGAGTATGATATCAGAATTTGCATGATGTTTTGAAATTGGCTATACTCTTGTTTTCCAGCAAAAAATTATTTGATCCTAAAACTCTGGTTCTAAAGGTGGCGGGGTTATGCATTTCTTCAAAGAATGCTAAACATGTAATATGTCTTGAAACTATGAATTTACTTAAACACCACTTTATGTCATATTAAATAGCCTGCTTTATATAAAATCTTACCTCTTCGGCTGCATCTCTCTACCTGCTGTTACCATTTTTTTGTTATTTGGGGGTATCTTTTGCAGATGTAAATATTGCCATCAGGAAAATTGCCTGCTTGCTGAAGACTGACAAAGATATCGTTCACGACGGGGACCACATGATCATCAAGACCCTGAGCACCTTCAAAAACTACAACATGGACTTCTACGTGGGCAAAGAGTTTGAGGAAGATCTGTCTGGAGTGGATGACAGGAAATGCATGGTGAGATGGTGTTTGGGAATGTTGGTAATGGAGCCCATTTTAAAGCCTGTGGAGAAAACCAGTATAGCTTGGCTGCATTGCATCAACTGTGGAGGCCTGTGGAACGAACCCATTTGGGTGCAAATTCAGTGGGCTGATTTTTTTTTTTTTTTTGTAGGAGCCCCTCCAGACTGCAGTCTAATGAGCAGATGGTGTGGAGAGAGCCGGTCATTTTATACAGAACTTTCCTCCTACTCAGAAAAAAAAAAAAAAAAAACTTAGTCAAACTTTTATCGTTTTTCTCTGTGACTGGGTGTAATGAAGAGCGATGACAGATACGCTGCAGAGAAATGGGAGAGGCAGAGAGTCAAAGTCAAGACTCATTTAACAAGATTGTGTTTCTGAATACTGAATAGGATCAAAGATTATCTGTGATCCCCTTGAAAAGGCTTTTTTTGCATGCTGATTAAAGATAAGCTGTAAACTGGTGGGAGGGGGTTGGAAGAAGAAGTCACATGTCTGAATTACACATAAGAACAGAAGTAAGGTGTATTCAAACATTTTTAATGTGTGAATGCTGACTCGGCGTCTACAATATTATTTTACGGATGTTTTATTTTTCCGTACATTTTTGGAATCTGACTACTACATACTTTGTGTTACTTCATCCATTAATATGTCGAAACATTCAGCTCATTCAAGAGATGGGCACTGTAACTGTAGGCTTTTATACTTTTCAAAACATTTAGCATTATTTATAGATATTTAATTTAGTTTAGGTCAATTCAAAACAATTCAATTCAATTTAACTTTATTGTTCAAAACGTGAATTCATTGCCATCTCTTTAGTGTCTTCAAAAAAAAATTTTTTTTAATTGTTTTAGCTCAAAAGTTTTATTTTCGTCTTCCTTTGCTACTTTGAGTTTTTAACAATTGTCCTTTTACTTTTAGCTTTTATTCTGCTTATTTTATCTTCAAGCCATCCTTTTGCTGCTTTTAGCTAGCCTTTTGCTATCCATTTGCTGCTTTTAGCTAGCTGTTTTTTTAAGCCAGCCATTTGATACTTTTGATCTTTAGCTAACATTTTTTTATTTTAGTTAGCCGTTTGCTACCTTAGGCTTTTAGCTAATTTAGTGTTTAGCTACCTTTTGTTTCTTCAGCATTAACTAGTCTTTTTGTGCTTTTAGCTAATTTTTTGCTGCATTTAGCTAACTTTTTTCCAATTTTAGCTTTTAATTAGCCTTTTGATACTTTTAACATTTAGCTAAACTTTTGCTTTTTAACATTCAAGTAGCTTTTAGGTATATGTATAGCTAGCCTAGTTTGCTTGTTTAGCTACTCTTTAGCTGGTGTTAGCTTATAGTTGGCATTTTGCTACATTTACTTTTTAGCCAATGTTTTGCTAATTTTAGTAAGTTTTCTGCTTCTTTTAGCTTTAAAAATTCAGTTTATTCAACAAATTTCAGCCACGCCATTCGTCTCAGCACGCACACTGCACACAAAGCATTCGCGTTTATTAGGTTAAAGACTCCTGAGTGGTGCAGGTGTGTTTTAAGCACCTTTGTGTTTGAATGTGTCTCTTACTTCATGCAGACCTCCATCAACTGGGAGGGAGACAAGCTGGTGTGTGTTCAGAAGGGAGAGATTGAAGGAAGAGGCTGGACCCACTGGATGGAAGGAAATGAGCTTCATCTGGTGAGAAAACATCAGCTCCTGGCATGAATATTAATCTAAGCAATTTAGACTCTTTAATCCACATCCAAAACGCCTCCCGGCGCAGTATGTGAAGTGCATTTTCCTGTGACTCCAGCTTGAATTCATTCCCACTGGCTCTGAGTGGAGCATGGCCAAATATATATATATATATATATATATATATATATATATATAGATAAGATCGGAAGAGCGTATAGATGGGAAAGAGTATATATATATATATTTATCTTATTTACATTTTCTTCA